GATAAAGAATCCGTTATCAACGCGATATCACAAGTTCAATATTTAACAGGTCTTACAAGGTTAGTGAAATGATTTTAAGATTTGTTATTTCTTTTATTTCAACTAAAATATTTAAATTTAATGAGGAAATATTGTTCATTTACTTTATCTAATACTACATTTTATTTTATTTATTTTTTTTATTTGAAAATTTCACATTTTTAGAACTGGTGCTGCAATTCAGCATATGGTAATGGAAGGTTTCTCGGAACGACGTGGCGCTCGTAAGCAAGGTGATGATGTCGCACGTGTAAGCATCGTCATTACTGATGGTCGTAGTCAGGATAATGTTACGGAAGCTGCAATAAGCGCTCGTAAATCCCATATCAATATGTTTTCGGTTGGTGTAACGGATCATGTCCTGGGATCGGAATTAGAAGCAATAGCAGGTTCACCATTACAATGGTTCCATGTCGATAGGTTCAAAGATTTGGATACTCGGCTACGATCATTAATCCAGAAAGCAGCCTGCCCATCACCAGAACCGAAACCGCGCCCACCTGGTGGATGTAATCCGTCAACACAGACAGGATGTGATCGTTCATTGAATGAAGTTTGCGTTCAGGTCCGTTTTTTTGAGTTTTTCTTTCTTATTGCTTCAGGTTTAAAGTTTCGAAATTCCAATAACGGTTTTTTCGATTTAACATTATCGAATTTTCATTTTGAAGGTTAATGGCTCTACGCAGTGCGTTTGTCCAGAAGGATTTCAGCGACATCCAAGCACTCGACGGTGTGGAGGTAATCAGTGTAATCCAGATTTGCCTACATCATGTCCACATCCAGAAATATGCATGGTTGCACCATTTTCAAATTATCTTTGCGTTTGTCCAAAAGGCTACCTGCGTGATCAGCGATCCGGAATTTGCCGTAAGTTATATTTTTAATAATTAATTGCAATGAAATGTTAAGTCTTGATCAAACTTGAGAAAGATAGATCTTCTGAACTGAACTTGAAATTTAGGTTTAAATTCAAATTTCAATAAATGCGAAAATTTTTAGTGACCAGTACTCACAAAGTTGATGATGTGAATGCAAAACAACAAAAGGAACCAACCGTATTGTTGTCCCATGATGCTGATTGCCGGAATGGCGGTGTACGGTGTGGTGCTAATGAAGAATGTGTACGTGGTGCAACTGGTGATTTTCACGTAAGTGAATTCATGTGACATTTATTTTTCCTGACTTGAATTCCATCTTGCGATAATTGATTTCTAAAATATGAGAATCAGAAAATTATTCTTAATATTAGTGTGACAAAGCAATATATCGCAGTACCTATCATCTCATTAAGACAACTGATAATGAAGTATAGGAAAGGAAATTGATCGTATAACATAATTTAATGACGAATTATTATCTTTCCTTGTTATAGTGTGAATGCATTCTTGGATATGAGCGTAATTTGCATAGTGGAGAATGTTCTGTACCAGGTTCTTGTGATCCAACATTGCCAAATCCTTGCGATATTCGTAAGCGTGAAAAATGCTTATCACATTCTAGTGGACGCTATCATTTATGCCAGTGTGCTCAGGGTGAAAAGCGACATCATGTTACTGGAATATGCTGTAAGTTAATGCTAATTCAAGTTAGAAAATTACAAGATTAAGTTATAAGTAAATGCATAATAAATATGCATTTGTATATTATATACTTATTTGTATATTAGATCATGAAATTCTAAAAAAAAATCAGAAAAATCTAACATTTTAGTAATATTATTCTTGAAGATATAAGCATTAAATGGTAATATTTTGGTATAAGATATCTTATATAAGATATAAGCATTAAGTGACAGTATTTTTGGATATATAAGATATAAGCATTAAGTGACAGTATTTTGGATATATCTTATATAAGATTAAGCATTAAGTGACAGTATTTTGG